ACTGAGTGTCTCATGTTCTTGAAGGACGTTCTTTTGGTCTAGGTCCGACTGTAGCTGCCCCCTCGAAGGAGGATGAGGAGGATGTTTCTTTGCTCGCTCCCGCTCCCTCCCAACCTCCCACGATCCCCTGTGCCTCTCTTGGCCCTCCTCATCCATCTCGGTGCTCGGTGCTGCGGGCACGAGAGCTGGACAGCTAAACGCTTCCCAACTGGGCGGGGGGTGGTGGCACTCAAATCTCGGGTCGGGCGATCGCGGGGGGTTGCCGCGGGAAGGGGGGGCTACGAAAGCTGCTGCATGCTCCTGGTCTCGGTCCCGTAGTTTCGCGATTTCTTCGATGCATTTTGGCTCCTGGTGCTTCCGACAAAGACCTCCCAGTAGTTGTCTCCTGAGGTATGCCGGGTGTGGTTTGCGATGAGGGTCGTTGGGGCCCGGTGGGCACGACGTTGCCCTCGTTGGGCCTCCTCGGGGCGCGGCGGAGAGCTCTGTCGAGGTCTTCGCCCGCGCCCCCCAGGGTGACCCCCAGGGTGCCGGTTGCAAGCCACACCCTGAGCAGGTCACACCCTTCGGAGTCGCCGACCCTGCCGCGCCGCGAGCATCCGCGGGCGATGGCCCCTCAAGCGCATACGCACACATCCTGTGCTCTTGCAGGCGCGTCGACACCGAACTGTGGATCTCCTGGCGCTTCTTCTCCTCTGCTCTCCTCCCTCCGCCCTCTCCGCCCTCCTCCCTCCCTCCGCGCGGCTGTGGCGGCCGTGGCGGCTGTGGCGGCGACGGCGGCGGCTGTGGCGGGATGCGGCGCACGCGGCGGCGGCGGCAGGCGGCGACGGCGGCTGCGGCGGCGACGGCGGCGGCCGTGGCGGCTGCGGTGGCGGCGGCAGGCGGCTGGCGGTTGTGGCAGTCGCCGGCTCGCCGAGGCGCGAGCCGAGAAGGATGGGCGCGCGGAGCTGTCGCAGGCCAGCGCGCCCGCGCGCCGGGGGCGATGCCGTCGAGGTCGCCATTGGAGTCGTGGTGGTCGTAGCCATCGTCGTCCACGGCGCCGCTTTGGTCGTCTTGCCGTCTCCGCCGTTGGCGTCGTGGTGGTTGTCGCTGTTGCCGCCCTCTTCGTCGTGGTCCTGATTGTCGTGGTTTCGGTCGTGGTCGTGGTCGTCGTCGTGGTTTCGGTCGAGGTCGTCGTCGTGTGGCCCAGCCCCACTCTCTGGGAGGACGGTGAGGATGACCAGGAAGGGCGGAGGAAAAGGAGGATAAGGGGTTGAATAGGAAAAGGAGGCGGAGCGGGATGAGTAGGGGGATCATGGAGAGCAGAAAGAGGATGATGATGAAGAGGATCAGGAGCATGGGGGAAGGCGGACGATGATGATGCTTATGATGATGCGTATGATGATGATGATGATGATGATGATGATGATGATGATGATGATGATGATGATGATGATGATGATGATGATGATGATGATGATGATGATGATGATGATGATGATGATGATGATGATGATGATGATGATGATGATGATGATGATGATGATGATGATGATGATGATGATGATGATGATGATGATGATGATGATGATGATGATGATGATGATGATGATGATGATGATGATGATGATGATGATGATTATTTAATCGCTTCGCTCATTCCGCCGGCCCATATTGTCGCACAGTTGTGGGCTAGCCGAGTTTTGGGGCCTCTTGGGGGCCGTTTTGGGGCCTCTTGGGGCCTCTTTTGGGCCTCTTGGGCGCCTCTTGGGGCGTCTTGGGGGCCTCTTGGGGGCCTCTTGGGGCCTTTTTGGGGCCTCCTGGGCGCCTTCTGGGGCGGAGGGCTCGATTTTTCAGTTCTCGGTTCCCCTCTTGAGCCCCTCTTGGGCCCGTCTTGGGGCCTCTTGGTCCGTCTTGGGCGGCACTTGGGCCGTCTTGGGGGCCCTCCTGGGCCGTTCCGGGGCCGTCTTGGGAGCCTCATGGGCCGTCTTGGAGCGGTCTTGGGGGCCTCTTGGGCCGTCTTGGAGCGTCCGGAAGCCGAAAAAGCCAGAACGCAAAAAACAGCGAAAAAAACAATGAAAATCAACGATTTTGGCCTCTTGGGGCCCTCTTCGGAGGCCTCTTGGAAGGCCCTTGGGGCGTCTTGGAGGCCTCTTGGGCTGTCTTGGGGCCCTGTTGGGCGTCTTCGGGCGATCTTTGGCCGTCTCGGGGCCCTCTTGGACCGTCTTGGAGGCTTCTTGGGGGCCTCTTGGCCCGTCCTGGGGCCCTGTAACAGGGCTCCGGCATCTCTGGCCCGACCCGGGGACCTTGCCGGGGACCTTGCCGGGGACCTTGCCGGGGACCTTGCCGGGGACCGGCCGGGACCTGGTCGGGGTACTTTTCGTCTGGGGACCCCCAGGGGCCGCCCCGCGCGCGCGAAGTAGAAACATTGTAGAGCAGTTACCGGAGATCTTAGCACGCCTCTGGCCCGTTGGGCCGGCGAATTGATGATGCTGCTGATGATGTTGCACGCCGCTGCTGACGACGCCGATGATGACGATGATGATGATTATGAGGGTGATGCTGATTATGAGTATGATTATGACGATGGTGGTAATTACACTGAGGGTGATTGGGGCGATGATAAGTCTGCTGCTGCTGTTGAAGCTGATGCTGATGCTGATGTGGTTGGTGACGATGCTGCTGCTGCTGATGATGATGATGCTGATGATATTGCTGCTGCTGCTGCTGCTGCTGATGATGATGATGATGATGATGATGATGATGATGAGATGCCGATGATGGTGGTTGTCAGGATGCTGCTGCTGCTGCTTTTGCTGATGATGGTGCTGATGAGGATGCTGATTCTGCTGACAATATCGACGACGACGAGGATGCTGCTGCTGCTGATGCTGCTGATGCTGCCGCTGCTGATGCTGCTGCTGGTGATGATGATTCCGATGGGTGATGGATGATGATATGAAGACGAGGACGAGGATGAGGAGCAAGATGAGGATGATGAACAGGATGATGTTGGGGGTTGTCTAGGGGGAGGGATAGGGGTCTAAGGGGTTTACAGGAATTTGCCGAACTCTGGGTGGAGTGTCGTAAGGATGAGGATGGCGAGCAGGACGACGACGACCACAAAGGTGGGGATGGTTAATCACAGTTTCGCAGTAGGGTGCATCAGAAAGCACTTGAGATCACCTTATCTGAATCAGGTGTTAGTTTTTCCTGGAGCATTGTGAATGGACGTTGCAAGATATTCTTCATTGCGCGAGGTATTCTTAACAATTCGGTCCGCGGACAAGCACCAATGTATGGTTCTCAGAAAACAGAGATCCCCGAAGTTCTGAACAGTTTGATGACGATTTGCGTTGGATTTCGCAGTGGACGGTAGATTGTCGTACTGTGGCACGAACAGAAGCATTGAGCGTCCTGGATCCGAATTCAGAGTGACCTTTACCTGTGCTGCAGTCCGTGGTTATCGCCAATCCGCGGCCCCGTCTCTTGTCTCTCCCCTTCTCCCCTGGCCGTGGGCGCCTCCCGCTGCTTGCGGCGGGGGGGCGCCGCGAGCCCCCCCCCCCGGAGAAAGGGGGAGGGAGGGAGAGAGGGAGGAGGATTAGGAGGAGGAGGAGGGGGAGGAGGCCCCTCCCTTTTCAAAAGGCAGTGCCTTCCCTACCCCCCTCCCTTCCTCTGCCTCCTCCCGGGGCCGCGCGTGTTCGGCCCTCCCTGGTGTTCGGCCCTCCCTGGAGGCGGGCCTTCGCAGCCCTGCGTTCTTCTCGCTCTGCGGCAGTGGGTTCTTCCCCGCCGACGTCGCCGCGCATCAGCGCTGTCCGGGGGGGGAGGTGGGGGGGGGGCTGGGTGGGAGGGGCGTGCCTTTTGCGCGTCTGGCACGCAGGCCTGCTCGAGGAGTGGCCGGCCCTGCATCCATAAGCTTCCCGCAGGGGTCCCGCAGGTTTCCCAAGCACCTTCAAGCAGCTCTGGGCCGAAACGGCGCGGGAACGACTCCCGACTTGCGTGAAGTTTAATTTCCTCTTGGGCCTCGCCACGCCCCCTCCATGCCAGAGTCTTAATAAAGTTTTAGGAGGTAAAACCAGCAGTTGAGAACAACATACCTTCAGAGATGGGGGACGCCGTCCGCGAGGCTCGCTGCGGCGTCGAGCTGCGCGATCCCCGATCGGCAGCGGCGGCCGCGACGGACGACCGCACGACGACGACGCCGCCCGCGATGTTCGGAGCGAGCTCGATGCGACGGCGGCGACGACGGGGGCGCGACCTCGGCGCGACACGACTGCGTGTCACTCTTAGAGATGGGGGTGGGTTCGAGGATGGTAAACGGCGACGCCCGCGAGGCTCGCCGCGACTTCGAGGCGGCCGAAAAGCGCGCCGCGGCCAACGCGCGCTGGCTGCGCGAGGGCGCGGGCCGCGCGGAGGCGTCGCTGGACGCGGCGCGCGCGGAGCCTCACCGCGCCCTGGCGGCGGCGGCGACGACGACGACGGCGACGACCACGACGACGATGAGGGCGACGACGACGAGGGGCGTGGGCGGCTTGGCGCCGCGTCGCCCGACGGCAGTAGCGAGCGCCCGGCGAGCGCCCGGCGGTTGCGGTGCGGCCGCGAGCCGGTCTTCGTTGTGGTCTGGACCTCCGCCACCTTGGCGCGCCGCCCGCAGGGCTCATTTCGACTCCTCTGGCTCGAATCGAATCGATTCCGATTCGGTTCGACTCCGGATGCCGATCCAGGTTTCGGTTTCTCCGCGGAGGCCTTTAGTTAGCTTGCTGGTTTTCGCCGATGCGGTTTCTTCCGATCTGACTGCCGATTTCCGCCAGCCGATTCGCTTTCATCGCCGATCCGACCTGCCGATTCGATTCGTGACTCCCCTGCCCTCGCGCCACCGCCTTTCAGGGACAAAAGCAAACATCAGTTTCGTGTTCCACACGTTTTGAATCCCTCGTTGTCATTGCCGCTGCCGTCCATTCCATGGCCCGTTGCTCAAGTCTTTTTCCAGGGCATGACGGAGGCCCTTCCGCCCTTTCCTCGAGGCCAGGGCGTCGGGCGTCCGCGAGATAGCCCGTGCGGGCTTCCACGCAGGGGCCTCGTGGGCGCAGTTGCCGAGGTGCCCCATCGCGCCCGCGTGCCCTGCCTGCCCTTCCTACCCCGCGTGCTACTGCACTTGCGGGGAGGGGTTCAGCGAGTCGGGGCTGCCCGGCGGGGGCGGCGGCAGAGGCGGGCCGTCCTGGGTGGCCGGCGCGGTCGACGCGCAGTGCGACGCGCTCGCGGGCGCGCTGCGAGAGGCGGCTGAGGGCTGCGTCGGCTGGACGGCCGCGGCGAGCCTGGCGGTCCTCGCGCAGCTCGTGGGCTACGGTTTTGGGCGGCTGGTGACGCAGGTGCAGGACGCTCAAGGTCGGCCCGATGTCCCTGGTCCCCAGGGGGTCGTTTTCGTGGCTGATCCCATGCAGCAGAGCGGTTGTCCGCTGCGCCGAGGACGACCCTGGCACGAGCGGATCCTGCTCTACCCAGCAACCAGTGAGGCCGCCGAGAGCGGCGGCCGCGGGGCTTGCTGGGTGGTGCTCAGCCCCGGCATGGACATGTACGTTGAGGAGTTGGAGGGAGGCTCGTTTGACGACGGCCCCGTGGAGTGGCTCGAGGTGCCTCGGGACCTGCGTCTGCCGGCGGGGTTCGGGCGCGCCTATCGTTTCGACGCGTCGCCGAGTGACGCCGACATGCGCGGCCTGTTCCGCAGAGCTTGCGCGGCGGCGCTAGCAGACGCAGAGTCGCGCAGGATGGCGCTGGATCCCTCTTCGACGATCGGGAACTCTCTCGGGCGAGACGTCGCGGTCGAGGATGCGCCGGGGGCCAACTTCTTCGGCGGGCGCCGCCTGGTGGGCAAGAGGCCGCCCACAGGCGCTGGCGCCGGCGCTGTGGGAGGCGTCGGCGAGCCGTTGGCTCACGCCGGCGAGGCAGCCGAGGGCGCTGGCGGAGGCGCGGCTGCTGTTGGAGGCACGGCGGCCCCCCGCTCGAGTGGGCTGGCATGGCGGGCGGCGGAGTCGGACGAGCGCAGCCGCATTGTGGTTGACGACGAGCTCGGATCCCCCGCGCACGAGCGGCGCGGCAAGGGCCTGTTCCACGCTGGGCCAGGCCGCGGGGTGGTGGTGCACCTGGCGGGGTTGGACCAGGAGGCGTTCGTGGCGAGCTTGCGCTGCGGTGGCGCTGCAGGCTTCTCGGCTGGCGCCTCAGGGCCGCAGAGGGGGCGTCGCGGCGCTGGCGGCGAAGAGCGGGGCGCGCGGCCGCGGCAGAGAGTGGCGCGAGGTGGCGGGCGCCTGCGAGGAGAAGCTTTTCGGTGACTTCCCAGTGAGGGGCCCGCGGTCGGCGCGGTGGTGTCTCGACATCTTGCGGCGCCGCCGCGCGTCGACCGACAGCCACCTCGTGCTCGAGACAACGGCGAGGCCCCAGTCGGAGCAGCGGGGCGTCCAGGAGCACGAGCAGCTCATGAAATATACCGAGTTGGCCGGCACATGCGGCCAGCTCGACTCGAGCAACTGCGCGCTCGCCGAGGCCATCTTCCGCCGAGCCCAGACGATCAAGCGGCGCTGCCACGGCTGCGCGAGGCGGACTCGGCCAGCTCGAAGGACAAGATGAGCCCTCAGGAGTACTCGGCGTTCAGCGGTTTCAGCGCGGCAGGAGACTTGCTGATGGTCGCGCCAGCTCGCCTCGAGTTCGCGGAGGGCCAGGTCGAGAAGGACGCAGCCATCATGGAGAACATCAGGAAGGCGCGGGAGGAACGTGAGCTCCGTCGCAGGGGCCCCGAGGGGGCGACGGGGTGGAGGTATACGCGCGGCCGCCTCCTCCTCGAACTTTAAAGCCGCCGAGCCCGCGGGCTCACCTTCTTGCGCGCCTGGGCGAATTCGAGGCGACGGCGTTCCAGACCGTCGCGATCTTTTTCCTGTCCCGATGCTGCGGGGCGGCCAGGCCCCTTCCGACAGCGTGGCCCCTCGCTCGGCGAGGCGGCGGCTGCTTTGGCGCGATGCCGCGGCGCCCGAGGCGAACCGCGCCGCTGGGGCCCCGAATGATCTAGCCGGGGGGCCGAGGGCGCCTGGCGCCCCAGGCCTGGCGGAGCGGCTTCCCCATCGCCCGGTGCGCGATCGCCTTCGACGTGCTGCCGCTGCGATGGGCCCCCCGCCCCCTGGCCCCGCCCCCGCGAGAGCCCTCCGTGAGCTCCGCGGCGCTGGCGCGTGCGAGGGCGTCGACTCGCTGGTCGTTGGCTGCGACGACCCCATCGTCTCGCAACCCGAGGCTGGCAATGCGCCAGTGCCGCTCGGGCGGCTACTTCAGGGCGCGGGCGATTGCGATGTCGAGGCGACTATGCATGAGCAGATCCTTCCAAACGAGGAGGTGAAGTCCAATCTTCTGGCGGCTCCGCCATAGTCCTACATGGGCGCTAACTTGAGCGAGTCCGCGCGCATGCGTTGGCCCAGAGAAGCGCCTTCAGGCCGCTGGCGCGGCGTCCTCCAGCACGATCCCGCGGGAGAGGTGCGGTCTCTTCTTCGCGCGTCATTTGTCTGGGAAGCAGCGCATGGTGATCGACTGCCGCCGAGCCAATGGCTGGTTCCGGCGGTCCGCCACCGTGGGCGCCGGCAACGGGCCCATCACTGGGGGCGCTGGCCGTGCCGGACGGGGGGCAGCTGTAGGTGGGCAACGTGGACATTTGCAGCGCCTCCTACCTCTTCGGCGTGCCCGAGGCCTTCCGCGACTTTTTCGCCCTGCCGTCGGTGGAGGCCAGCGACGTGGGGCTCGTGGGCCTGGGCAGGCGGCAGCTGGGGCTGGGCGCTCTCGTCTGGCCGGTCCTGGCGGCGCCCCCGAGGGGTTGGTCGCGCGCTTTGTGCCGGTGCCAGACCACGAACACAGGGGCATCGCGACATCGATCCCCGAGCTGAGCGATGTGCCGTTCATCTCGGACAAGTGCGCGGTGCCGCCGGTGCACCCGCTTGCTATGCCTCCTTATGTTGCTAATTTCTTGGCCTTGGGCGCTGACCCCAAGGCTGTCGCCCGCGCCGTCAGTCTAGTCAACGCTGCCTTGACGTCCAGGGGGCCCCCCACCCATGAGGTATGCGCTTGCGATCATGAAGCAGAAATCCTGGGCCAGGAGATCCGAGGCCGTGAGAGAGAGAGAGAGAGAGAGAGAGAGAGAGAGAGAGAGAGAGAGAGAGAGAGAGAGAGAGAGAGAGAAAAAAAGAGAGAGAGAGAGAGAGAAAGAGAGAGAGAGAGAGAGAGCGAGAGAGAGAGAGAGAGAGAGAGAGAGAGAGAGAGAGAGAGAGAGAGAGAGAGAGAGAGAGAGAGAGAGAGAGAGAGAGAGGGAGGGAGAGAGAGAGAGAGAGAGAGAGAGAGAGAGAGAGAGAGAGAGAGAGAGAGAGAGAGAGAGAGAGAGAGAGAGAGAGAGAGAGAGAGAGAGAGAGAGAGAGAAATCATGCCAAAGAGGTCAAGGCGGCGGCGACTTCGCATGGCACTCGAGTGCTTGACAAAGAGGAGGGTCGTGCACATCAAAGACGTTGAACAAGTGCTGGGGCATTGTCAATGTCTTGTTTTCTGTCGTAAACACCTTGTCCGGTTGAATACAGTGTCTATTTTTTGTCCGACGGCTACGCCACTGTGCTGCGGTCCCCCTCTGGGACTCCGTCCGTTGGGAGCTGGGCTCGTTCTCGAGCCTGCTGAGTAGTTCTGATTTCCCGGGGCATGCAGGTGTCCTGGAGCTCTAAGGTGATGCGTTCTGACGCGTCTTTCTGGGGCTTTGGGCTGGTCTGCAAGGACTTCGATGAGAAGCTCGTGGGCTCGGTGGGGCTCTTCTCGGAGCGGTGGTGTTCCTGTGGCGACATGCAGGCGCCGTCAAGGGCATGGGTAGGTATCGCTACTGGGCCGCCGGAGGAGAGATCGAAGACCTGGCGCAAGGGCGCCTCGGGGCCGCCGGAAGGGAATTCGAGGGCCCCTCTCGAGAGTTCCGAGGACTTCAGCGCATCGTCGGCGCGGAGGAGGCCAACCTCGAGGCCCGCCAGTTGGCCGCAGGTCGTTTGCCTCCATCTTTCCGCGAACCTGGTTGGGCTGTCGTGGGATCTCAGAAGTGGGGAGCTCCGCCTGACAACGTCGTGGAGAAGGAGGCCTGGGCGATCGCGTTCGGGGTCAAACATATCTGCAGGGCCGCCATGGCCTCTGGGCACCATCGCTTGATTATATCCGATTCGCTGTCGTCGGTTTTGGCTCTTGGCAAAGGCCGATCCTCGGCCCCGGGCGTCTGTGGCGCTCTGCGCGCCTTGGCGGCGCACGTTGCCGCGGCTGGCCTGCGGCCCGGGGCCCGCCAGCTCCCCGGCGAGTGGGGGGGGCTTCGCGGGCGGTCCGTCGCGAGGGCTGCGGCGCGCTGGCTACGCCTGGGCTGGAGGCGTCGGCGCTGACTCGCCTTCGACGCCCGCCCCGGGCAAGGCTGGCTGCCGCGGCGCCGCGATTGCGGGGTCTGCCGTGCGGAGCGGCCGCTCCGACGCCAGCGTTGAAGCGGCGATTTGTCGACCCCCTGGTCGGCTGTCCGCCGCGCTTGGAGTCGAGTGGCACGTCGACCGCGCAGGGGGTCAAGAGGCGGAAGCTGGCACGGCGCAGTGCCAAGGTTCCCCAGACGGGCTCGTTGGACGCGCTTCGCCTGAGCACGGTCCGCGCGCAGACCGCGAGGAGCCGCTGCCGGCAGCTGACCGACGAGTTCGACGCGTGGCTGGCGGAGCACGGGCTGTCGCCGCGGCCGAGGTTGTCGATCCACGACCGCGAGGTGATGCATCTCCCCGAGAGGTACATGCCTGGATCAACGTGCCCACAGGCAATATGACGCCCTCCCGACAGGCAGCAGCGCAGCAGCGTGGTCTGGGAGGTTTCGCACGGACCAGAGCCATGAGTGTTCCCCCAGCAGTCATCAACTTTGGCGTTCACATCGGTGGCCGTCATACCGATGGCGCCACCTACATCGCGTTTCTCCTTAGCACGAAGTTTGAGAACTTAGAGGAGGAACGCCAACTCAACTCGGGAACGGCCCCCATCGACTTTCGAGCCCATGCGGGAGAACGGATCGACCAGACAGCGGCGCGCTTCGAGATAGCGATAGCCCGCTACGAGGCTGAAACGACAGGCTTTAACACCCCCAACTTCCAAATCCTAGCAGTTTCTCTGTTCAGAGCCTTAGGAGTGGGGACGTCGCGTGCACAGCAACTCCTACAGCCACTTAACCACCAAATGCTTAGGAACCAACGCAACACTTTTTGATTTTCCACTTGAGCGCATGAGGTCATATGCTCACATTGCTGAGCGACCCCCTGGCAATATCGATGGTATCTGAGCCGCGGCCACCGCGCCGAAACCTTTCATGCTGAAGCTATTGCAGGGCAACCTGCTGCGACGTCTGGAACGACGGTCCGCGACCAACGGAGACCACCGCACTAGTAGGCCAACGTGGTGGTCCAGCTACGGGGTCGCAAGACCCCCGGGCCAGATATCAGGGGCCGTCGGCAGCGGCGGCCCCCGCACAAGCCACTGCCCCTGTAGGCTCAGCGGGGCAGCCCGCCGAGTATGACTTCGACTCCAGAACCGACGCCGACGCCTCATCAGATGGCGAACTGACTGCCCTAGACTATTCCGACATGCCCGCCTACCCCCTGGAATAATAACAGGCTCAATGGTAGTTTCTAGGGCGCCAGAAACATGCGCAGATGGAGACGGTTTATGAAGATGCCAGTTCGTAAGGTACGACGTACTATCCGACGGGCACTTAGGGGGCGGGGCGCAAGGGTCGAGGCAGGGGTAAGGGCAAACGACGGCGATTACATGGCAGAGGTATGCTAGCCTTCCTGACATCCCTTACTGGGCCACAGTATGAATGATTATTCCTGAGCGCAGGGGGGGGGCCGTGGGCGCACCTCAGGAAAGGGTGAGGGGCGCCGGGGCAACCCGAGAGATGCTAACGGTAAAACCATGGAATGTGACATCTGCCGCAGTAGTACACAACATTTCCGCCGTGAATGCCCCCGAGGCGATGGGAGAGGCAGGGGTCTGTCAATGCATGCAGCGTGTCGACTGGGAGACGCCATTGGCCGACCCCGCAGACAATCTTACCCGGCCGTTAACTTCATGGCTGCCAGGCATCTCAGCGCCAGCGTGTCCCTCGAGAGATGCGCCGATGAGATCTTCGAGGAGATATATGTTGGCCACGACGAGATTGACCTGGCAGCCTGGCTAGGCATGCCCTCGCGGGGCAACCAGCGCAAATCGAATGTGTTGAGAGTTCCCATGTACCCGCCGACGTAGATCATGACATGGCGGGGGCACCTGCGGATTCTGAAGTTGCAATTCCAGCGACAGAAGAGATGTGCATGATGATTTTTCCCCAGGCCATTGGTAACCCGATAAGAATATAACCATATGATGATGATCCTTTGCGTGGAAGCCCGCGTGATCCCGGCCACCTTGCAGAACGCGTCCAGTGCGAACTCGGACGCGATGAAGATTATCATGTCACGTTCGTGGCCTACGGGCGGTCTCCGAGCCGCCGTGGGCGACCGGCTAGTCGCCAAGTCTGGAGACGCGCGAATCGCTCAAGCGATGGCGAAGACGGATGAGAAGCTGAGGACCGGCGCGTGCAACTTCGCGGTCGCGGCCCCTCACGCGGGCACTCGCGCGCGCTCCGGCGACGCCCCGCGCCCTCGCCACCCCGGCGCGAGGGCCCCAAGGGCTCCGCCGAGGAGAGGGC